TTCTTTTCCCTTTTCTCACTCAGCATATTGGTGCCTCTTACATGACTTCCCTCTCATTTTACCAGATGTGATGACTGAAGCCCACCACAAATATGACCACTCTGAGGCTACAGGATCCTCAAGCTGGGATATCCAAAATTCTTTCAGAAGAGAGAAGCTGGAACAAAAATCACCAGATTCGAAGACACTACAGGAAGATTCACCTGGAGTGAGACAAAGGGTCTATGAGTGCCAGGAGTGTGGAAAATCCTTCCGACAAAAAGGTAGTCTCACATTACATGAGAGAATCCACACTGGTCAGAAGCCTTTTGAGTGCACCCACTGTGGAAAAAGCTTCAGGGCCAAAGGCAATCTTGTTACACATCAGCGGATACACACAGGAGAGAAGCCTTATCAGTGCAAAGAGTGTGGGAAAAGCTTCAGTCAACGAGGTAGTCTGGCTGTCCACGAGAGACTCCATACTGGACAGAAACCCTACGAGTGTGCTATTTGTCAGAGAAGCTTCAGGAATCAGAGTAACCTTGCTGTTCACAGGAGAGTTCACAGTGGTGAGAAGCCCTATAGATGTGATCAGTGTGGAAAAGCCTTCAGTCAGAAAGGAAGCTTAATTGTTCACATCAGAGTCCACACGGGCCTGAAGCCCTATGCCTGTACCCAATGCAGGAAGAGTTTCCACACAAGAGGGAATTGTATTCTGCATGGTAAAATACACACAGGAGAGACACCCTATCTGTGTGGCCAATGTGGTAAAAGCTTCACCCAGAGAGGGAGTCTGGCCGTGCACCAGCGAAGCTGCTCACAAAGGCTCACCCTTTGATCACTCTCTTGAAGAGAAATTCTCTTTATGAATTAAGAGTACAAAATCCACTGAGATTAAACAACCTACCCAGTTCTATGGAATGAATGGAGAATCTTTCAGAAAGACCATGACTGGGTAGGGCAAATTGACTTTTCTCCTTTCCCCCAAAAGATTATGAAAAATAAATGTCTTGTTTATTATCATTATCATGTATGTTTTATAATTTTTGTCACTTTACTTTGACCCAGTTTTTCAAGGTGCCCCCATTAATCTGGAGCCACACTAGAGATTGTTACAGATTTTTAATTTGTGGTTGACACTGTCAGCCTTTTTTAAATGTAAAAAAACAGCCCCACATCAATATCAAGTTCTTTTTCTTCCCTACATATTCAAATTAATCTTGTTTTGCCTTCAAAACCACTGGACAAAATCCATGGGGCAAATCTGATTACCTTTATAATCTTCTTATAGAACGCTTCATTGCCTGGATGATACCCCCAATAATCTATTATAACTAACAGATATAACGCTCATGTCCATAACAAGGGGCCTAGCCTTTTACTACAAAAGAAAATTTCTTTTCAAGCCTGCAGAGCTTTAGTTTGTGCATTGAGACATACTTCAGTCCTCCACTCCTAACTGGGATAGAGATAATTCACCTATAACCAAAGAGCAGACAACTACTGTCTGTGCAATTTTTTAAGAATCTTGAAACCATTTCTCCCCATCTCCTACATTCTCAGAGACACAATGACCTTTATTCCCTTTTTGGCAACAGTAGCAATATCTTGGGGTTGAGTCACCTAAAAGGGAGGTAAGTATTCTTATTACTGAACCCAGACTTACAGTTCGTAGTCAGTAATGAACTTTTACTTTCCAACAACACTATCCTCTTCTTCACTTTCCAACAATACTATCCTCTGCACACGCACAAAGAAATTTAGAATTCTAACCCACTCTTTTCTGACCTCCAGAGGATGAGATTTGAAGGTTGCAGAGGAGAAACTGGTTTTGAGGGGAAATTTCCATTTACATTTTTTAAAATCTTAGCCATCTTTGTAATTTTTCATGCTGAGCAGTTATGTAATTGAAATTATGGATGATACAGATTTTGCTTTTCTTGATAAGACACCATTCCATCCTTTTTAGTACATCCTATAAACCAGTGGTCCCCAATCTTTTTGGCACCAGGGACCAGTTTCATGAAAGACAATTTTCCACAGATGGAAGGGGAATGTGGGGGAATGGTTTGAGGATGATCCAAGCACATTACATTTATTGTGTACTTTATTATTGTTAACACTGTATATAATGAAACAATTATACAACTCATCATAAGGTAGACTCAGTGGGAGTCCTGATCTTGTTTTCCTGCAACTAGACAGTCCCATCTGGGGATGATAGGAGACAGTGACAGATCATCAGGCACTAGATTCTCATAAGAAGTGCACAACCTAGATCCCTTACGTGAATAGTTCACAATGGAGTTCATGTTCCTAAGAGAATCTAATGCCGCTGCTGATCTGACAGGAGGCAGAGCTCCTGTGGTAATGTAAGCAGTGGGCAGCAGCTATAAATACAGATGAAGCTTCGCTTGCTCTCCCACCTCTCACCTCCTGCTGTGCAGCCCAGTTCCTGACAGGTCACAGACTTGTACTGATCCATGGCCCCAGGGTTGGGAACTCCAAAAAAAGCTTGTAAATAGTAACAAATGTCTTTGAACATTAAAACAATTCAGAAACACTGGATTTTAATAATATGAAAATATTATTCCAAAGATACCCTGATAACATTTGAAGACTTAAACAATAATGTTCATATCATCTTCACTCGTAATAGCCACACACTAGAAATAAATGTCCAACAGTGGGTGAGGGATAAAGAAACTGTAGTATATTCATACTGTGAAATGCAACTCAGCAACAAAAAAGAACATACAGGTGATACATGAACAATATGGATGAATCTGAAAGTTTTATGTTGAATTAAAGAAGCCAAATACACAAATAGTATAATTCCATTTATGTGACCTCACAGAACAGGAAAAACTAAGTGTGAGGATTGACTTGAAAGGCACACAAGGAAAGTTTACAGAGTGAAAAAAATGTTCTATACCTCATATCAGGCAATGGATGCATGGGTCTAGACAATTACCAATATTCATTGAACTCAATGCTTAAGATCTGTGTATTTTATTATATGTAAGATATACTTCAGTAACCATGAAGCAGTATAAATGTATTGCCCATAAGCTCTCTGACACTCATCCCATGAAGAGATGGGGGGGCTATGTCACCACCACTTGAATCTGGACAGGCTCATGACTGCTTCAAACAATAGAACACAACAGAAGTGAAACTACACCATGTATTAGTTCTGAAAAGCCCTTAAAAGGCCTGAAAAATTTCTGCCTGGTTCTCTTGAGACGCTTCCTTTCACGGGAAACCAGCCACCATGTAAAAAGTCCAACTATCCTGAAATCACTATAAATGGACAAGCTGCATATAAATGCTCCAGCCAAGTTTCACCTGAGCTCCCAACAGCTCGTCAGCCATCTGTGAGGGTCATTGTAGGTTTCTGGCCTAGTAGAACCCTCATATGACTGCAGCCCCAGCTGACATCCAGCCAAAACTGCATGAGAGACCCCAAAGTGAAACTGCCTTACCTAATTCCTGACAAACAAAATCATGTGAAAAATGAAACATTATGGTTGTATACCACTAAATTTTCAGGTTATTTGTCGTGCAGCAATAATAGAATAAAATTTATATATAGATAAAATCTGGGGAAGCAATTTGATATTACCTCACTAGCTAAATCAAAATAGAAAATTATGATTTATGATTCACCAGAAAGCCTAAGGTTTTAAAAATAAACATTCTCTTTGACAAAATAAGAGGTATGGTATAGATTAGTTAGCCGAGATCTAATCCAAGTTCTAAAATGAAGAAGTAGATGCTGGACTCCACTGCACTCCAGCGTGGGCAACAGAGTGAGACTCAGTCTCAAAAAAAAAAATGTAAAAATATATGCCTATATGTATATTTATACTTTCAGAATCTCAAAAATATATGTGTGTATATATGTATACATAGAGAGAGAACGCTATATAGACATATATAATCCTAGGATCATAGTTCTGCAAAAAGGAATGAGTAAATAATAAAGAGAAAAGAGGTCAGAAAATATATCATTGGCCATTGGTGATCAACTAAACCTTCAGCCCCTCTCCCCTTCCTGTGGTAGGCGGGTGCTGAAAGTTCCAAACTTTATGGTGACCAGCCCCATCCTGAAGCTACCTAGGGGCCCCTGGCCATAGTCTTCTCATTAGCATAAAAAAGACACTCTTGGCTGCCGTGGTGGCTCATGCCTGTAATCCCAGCACTTTGGGAGGCCAAGGCAGGTGGATCACCTGAGGTCAGGAGTTAGAGACCAGCCTGGCCAATATGGTGAAACCCCTGCTCTACTAAAAATACAAAAATTAGGCAGTAGTGGTGGTGTGTGCCTGTAACTCCAGCTACTAGGGAGGCTGAAGCAAAAGAATCGCTTGAACCGGGAGAGTTTTCCACCTCTTATATGGACATCGGTCACACTGGATTAAGGACCTACCCTATGCCACTATGGCATCATCCTAACTAATTCCATCTGCAAAGACCCTATTTCCAAACAGGACATGGCCTGAGGAACTGGCAGTTAGGAAACGTATCTTTTTGGAGGACAGAATTGAACCCACAACACTTGGGGTGTATCCTCCACAGTATCAAAAACATTGTTCTGCAGAAATACGTATAAACCCAACCTAGTGGTTTCTGAGGACATCAGCATCACCTGGGAGCTTATAGGAAAGGCAAATCCTAAGGCCCTGACCCAGAAACTGCGGAGAGCGGGAGAAGAGAGGGAGAGACAGCACTCTGTTTTAACAAGCCTACAGCCCATTCTTCTTACCCTACACAGTTTGACTCTCAACTCATCAGACTCTCTAGGCAGACCTAAAACTCCCTTCAGGGCAATGAAAAGAGCAGGAAGAAGATTCCAAGCAGCAGGTGGCCTGGGTTACCCTACTCCTTACACAGGGCATTGAGACAGTGCATGTCTGTCCTTTTCCATGTGGAGCTCCTTGTTGCTAGGGCTTCCATTCAAGAATCAATGCCACAATAAACTAGAAAAGTCAACAAGGATGAATAAATACATGGTCTCTTACCTAATTTTGACATCAACTCACAGGGAGGAGCACAGACGGGTTAACTGTGCCAAAAAAGCTCCACACAAGCAAACTCAAACGAACACCTTCATTTTCCCTTTTATCGTGGGCACAGGTCTCTCCCAAAGGCCCTTCCATACCATCCACCAAGTCTAGTTCACCAGATCACCTGTAGCCCTACCCTGATTCTGTTTACTTCACTTGCATTTGGGGTCATTATGATGTCATTGCCATAGGGTCACGGACTTAGTGACAACAGAATGCACAATCCGGCCATGACCAAGACTTGCGTTTCTGCAATGCTGAATCCCACCTTACTCTTAGAGAGCCTCATTCCTTTGATTAAAGAATGTGGATCACTCCACAGTTCTGCTTGCTTTCTAATTTGTATCTCTTCCCAGTAGTTCTGGTCAGCCTGCCTGGTTTTTCCTGATTTTACTGATTGTGCTCCTTTCATGTTTTCAGGCCACTAACCTGCCTAGCTCTGCCACAGTCTGAAATGGCAACTGTAATCCATACATCTCATTTAACACAAGCTACAGATGTGCTGGAAAAACTTGTTTAACAATTACCATAACCTTTCAAGAAGTTTCTTGGGGTTTTGCCTGTACAAACATCTCCTATAATCCTGATTATAGCCTATTGTGACCCTGTCTCTGCTTGCTTCAAGACAATACGCTCTCCCTCCCTCTTAACTCCAACGTTGAGTCTCTTGTAAGCTACTGTACACATTTCTCCTCATTGCAGCAGTCATCTATCACCTGGGTTGCTCCTTGAAGATTTTAGTTCCTATATCATTATCATTCACTCCAGTTCTACTGTCATAACACTTGGAGTGCTTATAAATGACTCATCACTTTTCCTCCTTTCTTCCAATGATCTTCCTCTCCGTAGGACCAGAGCCACTCACCTCCATCCACAATCATATTTGTAATTTTTGCATTATCAATCCAACAATAGTCTCAACTTCAGTCACCTCATTTTCTGATTATCAGCTCCTGTGTTTGCATCTCACTTCCTCTAGTGAACTAAAGTCAATAAATTGTCAGCTGCATCAAATAAGTCATGGATCCTGCTACTCCTTCACTACTCTTCATCCTTCCTTACCAGCTTACGTTACATGGTCCTACTTTTTCATTTTGTTTTTCCTGAGATGAAGTCTCCCTCTGTCTTCAGGCTGGAGTGCAGTGGCATGATCTCGGTTCACTGTAACCTCTTACCCCCAGGTTCAAGCGATTCTCCTGCCTTAGCCTCCCGAGCAGCTGGGACTACAGGCATGTGCCATCATGCCCAGCTAATTTTTGTATTTTTAGTGAGACAGAGTTTCGCCACATTGGCCAGGATGGTCTCGATCTCTCGACCTCATGATCCGCCTGCCTCGGCCTCCCAAAGTGCTGGGATTAGAGGCATGAGCCACCACGCCCGGCCATATGGTCCCTCTTTTAATCATCTACTTGCAAACACCCTCAACTCCCACACCTTGCTATCACTTTTAAAAACAGCTTTATCAAGGAAAAATTTACATACAATAACACTCATTTATTTTTAGTGTACAATTCAATTACTTTTAGAAAATGTGCAGAGCTGAGCAACTAACATCAGATGTTAGTGCTAACACATCTAATGTTAGAACATTTGCACTACACCATTAGCAAACTTCATTTCCATTTGCAAGCATCCTTCATTGCTACCCTCTTCTCCATGGGACCATAAATCTAATATCAGTTTCTATAGACTTGCCTTTTCTGGACATTTCAAATAAATGGAATTATATAACATATGATTTCTTTTATTTACCATAATGTTTTTGAGGTCCATCCGTATAGTAGCACATATATCAGTACTTTATTCCTTTTATTTTTGAATAATATTCCATTGTACAAATATAGCAGATATTGTTTGCCCAATCATCAGTTGATGGACATTTCAGTTGTTTCCAGTTTTTTGCTATTTTGAAAAATAACAGCCGAGTGCGGTAGCTCACACCTATAATCCCAGCACTTTGGGAAGCTGAGGCAGGTGTATCACCTGAGGTGAAGAGTTCAAGACCAGCCTGGCTAACATGGTGAACCCCATCTCTACTAAAAATACAGAAATTTGCTGGGTGTAGTGGTGTATGCCTGTAATCTCAGCTACTTGGGAGGATGAGGCAGAAGAATCACTTGAACCTGGAAGGCAGAGGTTTCAGTGAGCCGAGATCGTGCCATTGTACTCCAGCCTGGGCGACAGAGCAAGACTCCATCTCAAGAAACAAAGAAAGGGAAGAATGGAAGGGAAGGAGGGAGGGAAGGAGGAAGCGAGGGGGGAGGGAGGGAGGGAAAAAAGAAAAAAGATACTATGAATATTTACATGTAAGTCTTTATGTGGACATATATTTTAATTTTCTTAGGTATACCTCAGAGTAGAATCACTGGGTCATATGGTAAAACTATGTCTAACTTTTTAAGAAACTGGAAAACTGTTGTCAAAATGGCATTTTACATTTCCACCAATAATATATGAGGGCTTCAGTTTCTTACATTCTCCCCTGTATTTGTCCATTTTGTGTTGCTACAAAGCAAGCTTGTCCAACCTGCAGCCCAATGCAAATTCATAAACTTTCTTAAAACATTATAAGATTTTTTGCCTCATGTATGTCTTCTTTTGTAAAGTGTCTGTTTATATCCTTCGCATACATGAGGCCAACAAACATATGAAAAAATGCTCATCATCACTGGTCATTAGAGAAATGCAAATCAAAACTACACTGAGATACCATCTCACGCCAGTTAGAATGGTGATCATTAAAAAATCTAGAGACAACAGATGCCGGAGAGGATGTGGAGAAATAGGAACACTTTTACACTGTTAGTGGGAATGTAAATTAGTTCAACCATTGTGGCAGACAGTGTGGCGATTCCTCAAAGACCTAGAAATAGAAATTCCATTTGACCCAGCAATCCCATTACTGGGTATATATCCAAAGGATTACAAATCGTTCTACTATACGGACACGTGCACACGAATGTTCATTGCAGCACTGTTTACAATAGCAAAGACCTGGAACCAACACAAATGCCCATCGATGATAGACTGGACAGGGAAAATGTGGCACATATACACCATGGAATATTTTGCAGCCATCAAAAACGATGAGTTTGTGTCCTTTGTAGGGACATGGATGAACCTGGAAACCATCATTCTCAGCAAACTGACACCAGAGCAAAAAATCAAACACCGCATGTTCTCACTCACAGGCGGGTGTTGAACAATGAGAACACATGGACATAGGGAGGGGAGCACTACACACTGGGGTCTGTTGGGGGGAAATAGGGGAGGGACAGTGGGGGGTGGGGAGTTGGGGAGAGACAGCACGGGGAGAATTGCCAGATATAGGTGAAGGGGAGGAAGGCAGCAAATCACACTGCCATGTGTGTACCTATACAGCTATCTTGCATGTTCTTCAAATGTACCCCAAAACCTAAAATGCAATAAAAAAAAAAGATTTTTTGCATTTTTTTTTTAGCTCATCAGCTATGATTAGTGTTAGTGTATTTTATGTGTGGCCCAAGACAATTCTTCCAATGTGGCCTAGGGAAGCCAAATAATTAGACACTCCTGCTAAAAAGGAATATGCAGATTTGGCTCACAATTCCACAGGCTGCACAAGCATGGTGCCAGCATCTGCTCAGCTTCTGGTGAGGTCTTAAGAAGCTTAGGACTGTCACAGAAAGTGAGGGGGAGCCAGCACATCACATGGTGAGAAAGAGAATGGGGTGGCAGTCGGGGCAGGTCTCAGACTCTTTTAAACAATTAGATCTCACGGTAGCTCTTTACCACAGGGAGGGCACCAAGCCATACATGAGGATCCACCCCCATGACCCAAATACCTCCCACCAGGTCCCACCTCCAACACTGGAGACCACATTTCTTTCTTTCTTTCTTTTTTTTAATTTATTTATTTTACTTTAGGTGCATACTATATCTGGCATTTCTCCCCATGTTATCCCTTGGAGGGGACAAATATCCAAATTATACCATCCCTCAACACTTGTTACTGGCTTTTTATTACAGACATTCCCTGGGGCATAATGTGTCAGTGGGATCTCATTGTGTTTTAATTTACATTTCTGTAATATCTAACGATGTTTTCATATGCTTATTGAACTTTTTTTTTTTTTTTTTGAGACCGAGTCTCACTCTGTCACTCAGGCTGGAGTGCAATGGCACGGTCTCAGCTCACTGCAACCTCTGCCTCCCAGGTTCAGGCAATTCTCCTGCCTCAGCCTCCCAAGTAACTGGGATTACAGACACACACCACCACACTCAGCTTATCTGAACTTTCATTTACAGCCATGCACCATGACATTTCAGTCAATGACAGACTGCACATATGACAATGGTCCCATAAGATTATAATACCGTATTTATTTTTACTGTACCTTTTCTATATTTAGATACACAAACACTTACCATTGTGTTACAGTTGCCTGCAGTATTCACTATATTAGCGTGCCGTACAGATCTATAGCCTAGGTGTAATAGGCCACACCATATAGCCTAGGTATGTAGTAGGCTACACCATCTTGGTTTGTGTAAGTACACTCAATGATATTCACACCATGAAATCACCTAACAATGCATTTCTCAGAACCTCTCCCCATCACTAAGTGACACATGACTGTATTTTCTTTGGTTAAATGTCGGTTCATATATTTTTGGACAAATTTATTGAGATATATTTTATATGCCATATGATTCACCCATTTCAAGTGTACAATACGAGGCTTTTTGTAAATTCATTAATGTAAATCACCATACCACATCACTACTAAGTCAATTTTAAAACATTTCATTACCCAAAAACGAAACCCAGTACCTATATCTACTACCAATGACCTCCCATCCCCCCATCCTTCATCCCCTAACTCTTGACAACCACCAGTCTATCTTCTGTCTCTACATATTTACTTTTGGGGGATATTTCATATAAATGCAGTCATATAATACATGGTCTTTTGTGACTGGCTTATTTCATTTAGCATAATGTTGTCAAGGTAAACCCATGTTGTAGCATGTATAAGCATTTTATTTCATTTCATTGTTGAACAATATTCCATTGTATGGATGGACCGAATTTTATTTCTCCATTCACCAACTGGTGGACATTTGGATTGTTTCTA